TCATAATGATAATAATCTTCGCATTTGATGGAGCGCCTTATCACGTCGTTGAGACGTCTCAAAGCGCTTCACGGAATACACTCTAAAGTGAATTGATTGTATATTTTGTGGGAGAAACGTGGCAGCCAATTGGCACAATTGTATATTTGTATAGTGTATATTTGTGGGTATATATATGTGTACATTTACACAAAATATCCCCTCTGCTCCAACATTGGTAGCCATGCTTTTAGCCTCTACACCCCCAAACAGAAGGTAGGGTTTAACAACCCAGCAATGAGATGGAATGGTAGGAATACCGGGAATCTACGGACGAATAAATCACTCTGATTTACTCACAGTAAGCAAGCCAGATAGCCAAACATCAAAGCCTGCGTTAAGTTTGTGTGGTTCTGACCTCATCCCAGAAATTTGTGTGCGATTTGGGAACCTCATAAAATGTAGATGTCAGTACAAGTTTGCCGAGACAAGCTTTATTTCATCAACGCGTTTTATCAACGATTGATCAACTGTGGGGAGGGGAGTGGGGTTCACTCCGGTACATTGCTGTTTCTAAGCACCGTAAATGGGGAAGGCTGGCTCAGTGGGTAGCCCTCTCGCCTCTCAGTCAGAGCTTATGAGTTCAAGGTCAATGTCAAGCCTTTGAACTCGCAGTCTAGGCTGTGGGGGTGGGGGGGGGGGGAGCGCTGCACTGTTGGAAGTGCTGTCCCTTCAAATGAGGTCTCATCTGCCTGTTCCCGTGAAAGATCCCATGACACCATTCGAAAAGAGAAGGGAGCTTTTCCTCAACGTCCTGGCCAACAATTCCCCCCAAAATAAAATTGTCCATTCACTTCTCGGCTGTTTGCGGGGCACTGCCGTGGCAAATTAGCTGGCGGATTCACTTATAAAAGTACACGTCCTGCACGACACGTCAAATCATGTTAAGTGCTCTGAAATGCTAAGAGTAAATCTAGGCCGAGAGGGAGGAGGGAGGGAGGGAGGGAGGGAGGGAGGGAGAAAAAGGGAGTGGGGAGGGGGGGCAGTGATTTGATCCCATTTTTGTTATTCTCAAAATTGCCTTCGGAAAAGTTGAAGGGTTGACGGAATGACACTGATGGCTCGCGAGATCACGAGATGGGTTCCGATGGATAAGTAGCCTTCAGCCTTTCTGACCTCATCCCACCAGAATGCCCTCCCCACCGTCCGTCCCCCCCACGCCATCCCTGCATCCAGCTGCTTTCACTCTGCATAATGAGCGACACTGCAAATCTTTTTTAAGAGGGAGAGAGAGAGAGAGAGAGAGGAATCGTCGAGAGAAACTGGGAACCCCACCACCCATTTTATATATATGTCAGTGAGTGGCGATATCAAAATAATAATCCTTGCATTTGATACAGGGCCTTTTCACGTCGTTGAGACGTCTCAACACACTTCACACAATATACTGTAAAGTGAGCCCGTGTAGTTTGTAGGCAAAACAACATCTGGGGAAGGGGGTTATGTGGGGTGGAGGGAAGGCAGAAGACAGAGAAAGAGTCACTAGATTGTGCGAACTCCTGTTGTGTGATTCAGTGAGACAGCTGAATTAACACAGCTGTAAACGCACTAGGTTTAGTGAATGAACCTTTATTGGTATTAATTCAAGTCTGTCAAACTGACGAGGATCTTCTCCAAGTCAGTTTCCTCCCAGCTAAAGTGGCCAGGATTAAACAGCATAAATTAAAAAAAGAAACACAGCACAGCTTTCCTCCAAAAGACACGCTGCAAATCAACGGACAAAGACCGCAAGCAAGAGGTACAAACCATCGGATCTTAACATCGATTCTCAGTGACTGATTTGGGATTAGTAAATGGGAATCACAGTAGGTTATACACTACAGTGCGAGCCACAATCTTACTTTACGCACTCTTCGCGGATCGAAACGTATTAGCCGAGTCGGAAAAAACAAACAAGCAGGAGCTTGACAATGTAATTGGGGAAACAAAAACAACGATTTTCCTTCAGTTAATTAATTAAATTACTGTCCGCTCGTCCCTCCGGAGATTAGCTGTGTTTTGCAATGAGAAAAAAAGAAACAGAAGAAACAGGAGATCGAGAGCAACGCCAGCCCCTGTCTCATCTTCACTCCGCATCAGCAAGATTGACGTGCACCAGAAGTGATCCCAGTGCCTCCATCACTCAGCCGCACGTCAACAGTAACAGTTTGCGCGGTAACAGCGCCTCTCGCGCAGGGTAGCGTCCCAGAACGTCAGCCTGCAGGTGGGCTGGAAGGCTGTGCTGGAATTAGATAATAATAATAATCCTTGCATTTGATATAGTGTGTCATTGAGGCGTCTCAAGGCGCTTCACAGAATATACTGTAAAGTGGATTGACTGTAACTTATGGGGGAAAACACGGCAGCCAATCGCGCACAGCAGCGTCCCACAAACTGTTGTGGATTGACTGAGCAATTTTTATATAGATAGATATATATAAATATATATATATATAATTTAAAGCAGTGAACGGTGCTGATTCATGCATAAAGCAATCCAGTGCGGGAATTAGATTTAGAGCAGTAACTCCTAATAAAGTAGCAAAATATACAACTTCACTTCAGATCCCTTTCCTTCTTTTTCTTTGGCAGCCGTTCGTTTTGTAAAAAGGGCAATTTTACAAAGTCTGACAGCCGGGCTGCCAATCAGACCGACCGGGTGGCCCACACTCTCTCTGGAGCGGAGAGAGCTCTCTTGATTTAAGAGCAAACCCATGTAACAGTGTAAAATTCTGATCGATCTTTGTCTTTTTTTTTAAACCAGCAGTCACACACGTCAAATGCTTCGAGGTAACTGCCAGGAGACTGGACGGAACTCAATTCTCTCTCCTCGAGGATCTCGGTTCAAATCCAACCCAGGATGATGGGATGACAGCTTCTGTCCTTTGCCAGTTTTCCTATTTCTCAGCGAAACAGGTTTGGGCAGTGTCGGTTTCAGCTCCTTGTGTGCACGAATAGTCATTGGAAGTGAGTGCCCAAAATGTTTTGGCGACCATCGCTAGTTGCCCTTGGACGGGCTACAAGGATGGTGGGTGGCAGAAAGTAGGAGATGTCACTCTGATGAACACACTTTAGGTGCAGCCCTAAAGTTGTTGAGACAGAGTGTGGAGAGTAGCTTTATTCTGCCTTTGACCCAGGTAACCCGATCTTGGATTACTTTGACGCTGGCAGTGAAAACCAAAACAAAAAGGGAGAAAAAAAGTGAAATTTTATTCCGTTCCAAAGCACAGACATCCATCAACTTGATGCACGCGATAATCCACGCAAGGAATAAAGCTGAAATTCGAGCACAATGCTCGTCATCCATTTTTTGCTGGACGACAGTTAAATGGGGTTTGGATCGAACTCTGCTTTCAGCAAAAGACGGCAGTGCTCAAACGTCTTAAGCCTACAATCTCTCATTCGAAGGACGGCACCTCCGACAAATCAGAGCTCCCCTCAGCACTGCCCCGGAGTGTCAGCATAGACTGTGCAAGTTCAAAGCCCCGACGTGATCTTAAACAGTCAGTGCGAAACCTCTCCCAACTCTACCCGCGCCCCCTCCCACCACAACCACCGCCCACACACACACACACAGAGCTCAGTTTCTGTCAACTAATTCCATGTTTTCCATCGAATAAGAAAGTATGTGCTCATTTCAGTTGTATCTAATCATGTTAGCAATCCGAAGTGAATGATATGTCTGTGGCCACCTCTGTTATTTAGCCACTTCCACCCATCAGGGTTTCTGGATGCCTCACTGGTTACCTATACCCTGGTGAGCTCATTTCCGACCTGGCTCTAGCTGCCGACATCAAGCCAACGTTTACACCCCAAACTTCCAATAATCTTGCCGACAGAAGGAAAACCTGCTCTCTGGTGTACTGTAAATGGTGAGGATTATATAGTCAATAAAACAAAATCTGTGCGACTTCAAGGGCAGCATCTGCAGACACTTTGGAAAGCCATACAATCCCAGTTTTAAACAAGCGAAGCAGAACAGGATTAATAAAGACCTCGTCATTGACTCCGCTGTAACCAGGACAATTTTTAACGAGATCAAAACAAGGACTTGGCCTCGACCGGTGGTGCTCGTTTCAAAGAGCCATTATCGAGTAAACTTTTCGTACTAAACCTGTTCCAATCTTTATAGCTGTTTTTGCCTTTGTCGTTCCCTTCATGGAGAGCCAATCTTGGAAACTCCGCCAATAATGTGGGATTAATAGGCCAGACTGACACGAGGGGCAGCCAGTGAGCAACAACAGCAACAACATCAACAAACTCTGTGTCACAGCATGATTGAATCAAATGCCTTTTCCCATACAAAGCACAGGGACCCCTTCTGGGTGTCCCCTGGCCCCCCAGTGACACTGGCCCCAATAACCTGATCCTGTTACTGTACATACAGTGAGTGCTATTAAGAGGTCGCTGAGGTAGGTTTCCGCAAAGGCAAGTAAGCAAGCAATATCGACGGCAACTATGACAATAACTAATCCACCTGTAAGAACCTAAAAGGTCATGTAAAACAAAAGACAGGTTCTAAAGTGGATTATCTCATCAGTCTCATCGTTCTTTCTGCGGGGAAGTGACACACCCAGTTGATGCACAATCTGTTTAAGTACATTCCCAGCCTCGATGTTCATCAGGCTTCATATAAGGCACTTTGCCCTGGGCGCTGTTTGTCCACTCGTCGCAAATCTAGCGCCATGTGGAGCAGCCTGGTGCTCGCTCAGCTCAAGAGCAGAGTCTACGATGGATAGAGTCACGTCCTTGCCCGGTCAGGTTGCCTTTAGCTGCGATGATGAAGGGACTCAATTCACCCACTGCGCACTGTTACACACCCAGTCCTTCCGATCGCAATGTGATTGTATTCCTGCTAAAAGACATTTGACGTGCAGGTGGGGAACATTTCTGGCGATTGATTCTAACAGTTGAGCGGCAATCAGGTAACAATGATCAGTCCTGGCACAGCGACAAGCTTATTGAAAGAGGCGAGGGCTTACCCGCATAAAGGTCCGGATCCACAAAATCGTCCAACTTCTTGTAGTGAATGATGTAGTCCGCAATCTTGGTTCCTATTGCAGGCTGGGCATCCTGCCATTCCAGGCCGATCATCGTACTTGACGGCTCCACACTTGTCGACAGCCTCAACCTTGGTGATGAAAAACAAAACCATGATGACGGGCACTGGGGTGGGGATGTGGTGGGGGGAGAAAATCGGTGGGAGAAATAACTTGGAATGAACATCGCCCACTTCTCTTACAAGACAAGACAGCACACTGATGTAGTTTTCATCAAAGCTACACATATTCTGCATTTAAACAACCAGCAATAAAGCAGCAATGGGCATAAATATCTTGCAATAAACCGCCCTCATGTCTGCTGCCTTTGCAACCCCCTTATCTAGCGGCTCTACAGGGCTCAAACGAATGTGCATGGTTCCATGCATCAAAACACTCAACCCTAGAGAGCCAAAGAGAATAAAGTAAAATGGGTTTTATTGAGTTGGGCAGACTGAGGTTTCAGCTTACAGGACGTGACATCGGCGGTGACCTAATGACCCAGACGTTGGCCATTTTTGAGGTGCGAAAAGCTGGCCAAGAGTTCTGAGGCCAGGCAACGCAATTTGAAAATTTAGCTTTCTGTACTCATTTTGGATTTATTTTGGAAGTAAATGTCATGATCTCCCGCCCTTATTATTTTTTTGTTAATTCTCCTGCTCGTCCCACTGTTTCTTCCCATTCCTATGTCTGTTACTCTTTCTGTCCTCTCTTTTTTACTTTATTTCCCTCTCTTCCTGGCAGTGGAGTTGATCTGATCAGCGGTTAAAAAAAANGGATACCCAAATTAGCATGGAAATGCGCTGCAAAGGGTATCACTCCAGGGAACGTTCGCACCGCAATCTGTCAACGTGAAATGTCATCAGCCGGATAATGAGGGATGAGATACAAGCAGTTTAAAACATGAGAGGACCCAAGTGTGACTCCTCTCAGGTTGTAACTGCAAGCCCAAATGTTCAACCCGGCTTGCTTCATGTCCCTCACCAAATCTTAATAATAATAATCCTTGCGTTTGGTATAGAGCCTTATCACGTCATTGAGACGTCTCAAAGAGCTTCACAAAATATACTGTGAAGTGAATTGACTGTATATTTTGTGGGTGAAACGCGGCAGCCAATTGCACACAGCAGCGTCCCCACAAACAGCCGTGGATTGAGTGACCACATTTTTTTAAGGTATTATTGCCTCCGGAAAGCGATCCGCCATTCGACTAACAACCGGGTTCCTACTTACTGCTAGGTAAACAGAGGGGTGTGGAGTGAGGAATCTTGCCCAAGGTTTTGTCCTTCTGTACCACAAAAAGAAAAATACAGCAGCAAACGTCATTGAACTGACACAGGCTGTGTGGCGTGAATGTGGAGTCCTATTGGTAAATTTTAGCGGCTGACAATCCCAGTGGTTGAAATGCTGGGAAGACAAGTGTTCAGGGCATACAAGCGAGGAAATACAAGCAGCTCTTAGCAGCATTTTAATGCATCAAAGAACCACAGAAACTCTACTCCCAGTCAAGCCAGACTTGTCCTTGCAACCTCGAATTGCTGATAAAGCAAAGGAGTTGGAAGGGAGGGTTGCAGTCCTGGAATTAAATATATGTATGCCCTTCCCACATAACCCCACAAATTTCACCCACAAAATACACAGTCAATTCACTTTACAGCATATTCTGTGAAGCGCTTTGGTTCGTCTGAAAGGGATGATAATGCACTACATCAAATGTAAGGATTATTATTATTATTATTATTATAATCCCTTCAATTTGCGATTGTGGCGAGGAACAAAGGATAGACTGAGTAAGGTATTTCAAATCAATGGATGCCTGCTAAAAATATCAGGATTACATCATAAAATGCATGCTTAAATCAATGTTACACCTGATCCTGTGCTTCATTTGTATTCCAGAGTTTGCGTGGCTCTGCCAAAGAGCTCAGACGGGGGTACGATCTTATGAAAATTTATAGCCAGTGGGATTTGCAAAGTCAGGGATCTGAAAACACTCGTCTAAAGGTGATTGAAAATGTCATCAATTCACTGTCGGGTTTTTTTTTTGTTTGTGTTTCGCAGGATAAATTCATTCCAGAAAGCATCCACTCGATTTTGAGCCCCCGCTGCCAAACAGGCTGCTGACGGGGTTTCAGTGATCACATCATCGCATGGGCAGAGGACGATTTTAAAGAATAGAAGTAATAATATTGTCCGATATTATTTCTGCTCGTATTTCCTGGCTTGTATGCCCTGAACACTTGCATTGCCTAAAGTGGATGAGATGTTAAACCGAACTTCCAACCGCCAATTCCGTTGCACGTCAAGCAACCCGTGGCGCGAGTCTAAAAGGAGAAGGGAGTTTCTCCCCGGTGTTCTGGCCAACAATTTCCCCCCAGACAAAAAATGATTGATCATTCGCTTCCTGGCTGGTTGCAGGACATTGCTGTGTGCAACCTGCCTGCCTAAAAGCAGTCACGGCCATCACACAGCAAAATCTTGCGGAGCGCTTTGAAACAACATCTCGACAATCAAAATGTGAGGACGACTATATACAGTCAATTGTACACTGTAGTTCACAGTCTCATCCTTGAAGCGCTTTGAGATGTCTCGACAACGTGATAAGGCGCTGTATCAAATGCAAGGATTATTATTATTATTATTATTACTGTGAGAAATGCGCTGTATCTGTGTAGAACTGTTGTGAAATTGGTGAGGTGGTGGTACGTACCGAGGCTGAGGCAGTGGGCAACAGCTGGGAAGACCATCCTCGTCGAATGCAGTCAGATCACATCTGCACCAGTCGTCAATGACATCACCCTTTCCCAAGCACCAGTACGAGCTCATTAGTGCTGTCTTGAAGGCCTGCAAGAGATTGCGAGTAAGTGGGTGGCCAATACATTAAACCCTGGTCAGCGAGTGAGGTCACCACATCTCGTTTCCTGTAATTAAACATCGCAGCGAAAGGGCAACATAGATCACCAAGTGGACCATCTAATCCCCTGATAGGAATCAATAATCCATCTCCCGTCACTGGCACTCTCCAGCTGCAGTTAAAGTCAAGTCTTGCACCCAGTCCGGCAGAAAACTTTCTCAATTCTTTGCCCGTTTGCTTCCCTGCGATTTCGCCCACCAAATACGCGGTCAATCCACTCCACAGTCTATTCTGCGAAGACGCTTTGAGACGCCTCAACGACGTGATAAGGCGTTCTATCGAACGCAGGGATTACGATGATGATAATTTTCTGTTCTGTTAACGTTAAAGGAATACCAAAAAACTGTTTTTACGTGACACACCAATGGGAGAAAATCAACGGAATCGATCACAATTTAATCGGATACCGCTCGCAACACATCAGTGCAAAGCTCTTTGGCGACGTCCTCCCGATGTGAGAGGTGCTGCATCAAACACAAGGTTTGTTGAATTTGTTCCTACAGACAGATTGGTGTCACGTCATTGGAGTGTGAGACGAGTCAATGACTCAGAGGTGAGAGTGCTGCTGACTGAGTCAGGCTGGCACCTTGGTATAAATCAACCCCAATCAAGTAAAATACAGCGAGGGGTTGGAAAGCTCATTCACTTCAAGGCCGTTTGTGCGACTTTGCTGTGTGCAAAATCCCGTGAAGCGCTTTGGAGACGGTTGACACGGCACCGTGTCAAGCGCAGGGATTACTTGTACGGCTCGTTCCATCTTTTACCGCACGGTAGCGTTTGTTGCTAAGTGTTCTGGAGCGTTACTATTGCGCACGCGGTAAAGTAACATTCGGGAACACGCGAGACGGATAATCTCCACGTTGACGGCGAGTGCATCCAAAGGGTTGGATTCCTCTTTGATTCACATCTGGGTGCGGGATGTGCCACTGAACTCAACTCTGGTGCGAAACTGAAGACAAACGATTTCTCTTGAGGGTTAAAACAGTGTGAAGGATGTCCCAAGGATTACAGCGTAGCGAACAGGAGGGCCTTCACACGAGCCTGCGTCCCTGTATTACATAATGTCACAGCTGCCGCACCCGCTTCCTCGGACAAAGTAGGACAAGGGGGTGTGGGGTTCGACGACTGGCCTCCAAGCCCCCACGCTCCGAAGCGTAAACTCTGCACAGAGACTGCCTTCAGAGACGTTTCTGGCTCGTTCCGCTCACTCATTCAGAGAGAAGGCAAATATTGTGGCTGAGACGTTTTAATGAAAAGGGGGTGGTGGGGGGGGGGAGAGAAATCAAAGTGAGACAAACACAGCAACAAATAACCAGTGTCCGAGGTGTTGAAACCAAACTCAAACATGGACGCGGAGAGGAAGGGAGCTTGCCGCACTTAAGATTGTGCGAGGCATTGACACATATAAGTTTCCTTACTCCACATGCCTCTGTTTACCGAGCACTAAGCAGGAACCGCTGTCAAGTCGATTGGCGTCCCCACAAACAGTCGTGGATTGAAGTGACCAATTTATTATTGTTTTGTTTTGGACGGATTATTATTAGGCGTGTGGAGTAAGGAAACTTGCCCAAGGTATTGTTCGGCCGGGAATTGAACCCAGGTGTCGCGCTTGCAAGGCGAGTGCTCTAACCACTGAGCTACAATAATTTGGTCACACAAAGCTGTGCGCCATTGGCTGCCGGGTTTTGCCAACAAAATACACAATACACTACAGCTTCCAATTTAAGTCCTCCCGGTCGCTACCCCACGTGAAGGGCGCTGTACGAAGGCAAGTTGTTATTGCTGTTGTAGATTCTCTGAAGCACTTTGAGACGTCTCAACGACGCGATAAAAGGCGCTATATCAAGTGCACAGATTATTATTTTTATCGTTATCATTGTTACTTTTATTATTATAATAATAATCGTTGCATTTGATACGACCGCATTGTGTGACAGCCCGTCTCAGTTGGTAGATAAACAAGTTAAAATGTCCTTTTCACCAATGATGGAGAGCGGCGTTAAACACGGATCAGACCCAGGTTGTATTGATCCCCTGACATTTGGGCCCAGCGCCCGCACGGGTTTTTACGGTTTAATAGTTTTGCTCCAAGTTACGAAAGCTCTGTGCGCCCTTCGGGCTCTTGATAGCATTTCGAGCCTCTGTTCACAGACAAGAGCCTCACACAGTCAACTGTGTTAACAACGTGCTGGTTGCTGCTATCGTTGTGTGTCATCACCTACCAGGGAACTGCCCCAAGAAAATCAGTGGGAGACCTCTGATAAAGCAGGAACCCATCGACTGAAATTAACCACAGCTTTAAGTGATCAACACGTTCCATTTCAAGGGGGGAGCGGAGTGGGAAGGGGTAGAGGGTTCTGTAATGGGATGAGACAGTTGACATTCCAAAGATGGCTCCTTTGGCCTTGCTCTGGGGTTAAGTCCTGGCTGGGATTCCGTCGATTGGTGAGAAAGCTACACAATGTTTCTCGATGTCCTTAAAATGTTCCTCTGGCAGGGAGGCTAGCCCTGGGACAGTCTGGAATCCGATTCCTATGAAAGCAATATCCTGGAGGCACTCCATCTGGACTGGGTCCAGGTTTGGTCAGGAAAAGCAACTGTCTGAAAGTGGAGACTGTCTGCAGAGAGCTCACTTGGCCACGTCCTTCAAGTGGATTGTCACCAGCCAGTCATTCTAAGTGTGGGTACCCATTAAGCTCAGGGCTTACTGATATTACTGAACACGTCTGTGGGGAACTACGTGTCTCTTAAACTCCTGGCACCTGACCAGTCCATTAGGAATGCCATCTGAACGAGTGGCAGTAATATGACTACTGTGAACCAGTCTGCAATGGACCAGAAAGTCCTCACAACGGGAATAAAAGGAAGCGGCGATATAATCTGCTCGTCTTCTGGCACCGTCTTCTCTCTCCAGGCTTGGGGTGTAATAAAATATTCAGTTATTTTAATAACGGATCTTCCTCTGGGAGAGAGGCTGGAGGATGAGTGATCGCGCACTGCCCTCGGCACAGGGAACTCTCTGGAACCAACGAACCAACGAACGTACGAACGCAAAGCAGGAGGCTTTGAAAATGGGCTTCTCGCCCTTGCTGGTCTCTCTTCAGCCATTGGGAAGATTTAGCAGCTATTCTTGTGTGTATGGTGGGGGGGCGGGGAGCGTTGGCTTGTCGGAGGTGCTGTCCTTCGGGTGAGATGTTAAACTGAGGGCTGGTCTGTCTGTGCAGTTGGATGTCAAAGATCCCACGGCACCATGCAAAAGAAAGGGAGTTTCTCCTTGCGTCCTGGCCAACAAATCACTCAGATTAAATTCATTGTTCACTTCAAGGCTGTTTTTAGGACATTTCAAGACACAGTCAGTCCACTTTACAGCGTATCCCGTGAAGCGCTTCGGACGTCGCCATGACATGAATAGAGCGCTATATCAAATGCAAGGATTATTATTAATAAACCTGGCTGCCGCATTTGCCTGCAAAATACGCACTTTATAGTAAATCCTGTGAAGCTCTGGACCCTCTGAATTGTTGCCGATCTCAGGCCCAGGTGGAACTTCTCTTCCCACGAAGACCGAGTCACTGTTCAGCGTGTTGTTCTGCTGGGAGACCATTCGTGCCCGTCTGTCCCGAACAAACACCTCCCAGATTCTAGTTTCCACAATTAAACTGCGTGAAGTCCGGAAGCTGAATAAAGCTCATTTCCAAACACTTGCCATAAAAGAGCCTACAATCCAGTAGAAAGTCACCAATTTGTGTAGCCTCGGGGTAGAAAATTCCACCCAGTTTTACCCTAAAGGACTATTTTGTCCTACACTTTGAGATTGTGCAGAATTGTCTACGATTCTTGGAATTCAGCATTGATTTAGAATCCAGCACTGTGGAAAGCTTGCTTCCAAATCAGGGCTGAGTTGAAGAATCTCGCAGACATTCAGAGCACGTTAAATCTCGAGACAAAATTGACTCGCAGGCTAACGGTTGGTGGAATTTCAGACCTTGTATTTCGTCGCAGGTAAGCTGAAGTTTATTTATATATGTGTGTGTGTATGTATATGTGATATATTCTTCTGTTTGGGTTCCGTGCGGTACATCCTGAGTAACATCTTATACGCTGCACATTGGATTAATTATGCAATCAGACTTGTATCGCAGCCTGTAAAAGTGGGACGTAAAGGCACATCGTAACGCTGTACATTCATAGCTCGCCAGCTTCACACTCCTATAAAGTTCAGGACGGTCAGAGATTGTAGCAGATATCCAATTTCACTGTACAATACAATACTGGGAGGCATTGACAGATCCTCCTTCATAGAAAAGCTGGCTCGGACATCTCATCGGCTTCTCAACAATCCACACGCAGTCGTTGGAAAAATCTGCCACCGACGCCGAACCTTTCCTGTGACGCTCGCTGCGTGGGTACGACAGAGGTCCTTTCTGAACCGAAAACAAACCGCCAAGTGGTGTAAGGTCGTGTCAGACGCAGTCACTGGCTGCTCGGCCACTGCTGCAGCACAACATCAGCAGTCAAAGTTGTCCACCTGGCTCAGCCGGGAGCCCGCCCGCCTCTGAGTCAGCAGGTTCATGGGCTCAGGTGCCTCGCCCGGACTCTGAATCCACATAGCCCAGGCTGACGCCCCGATGGCATTGCTGAGGGAAGGGGCTGCATTATCAGAAGGGCCATCTTTGCAGATGAGACATTAAAATCTGACAACTATCCCGAGGCGCTACACGAAAACACAAGCAAGCATCCTGGCCGGCAACCTCCCAGATACAATTAAGGTTGTTTGTGGCATGTTGTCGTGAGCAAGTCGGTTTGCTTGCAAATACACAGTCACTACACGTTACAGCAAAATCGCGTGAAGCACTTTGAGACGTCCTCCCAATGTGAAAGGTGCTCTATCAAAAATGTAAGCATTATTATTATCATTAATAATAATAAT